CTAGCGACAAACTATGCAGTTGTGATTGGTGCTAAACCTGGTGATCGTCGGTACTTCCGAGGACGTGTTGCCTGTATGCAAGTATTTGGCAGAGCACTAAATACACGTGAGATAAGAGCACGCATGAAGTCCTGCTTCAGACCAGGTAATGTACGAAATCTTGCAATATCAAATTCCTCAGTTAATCCTGAGTGCAAGCGATAGAGTGATATTAATTTATTTATTTTCACCTCCACACATAAATAAAGATTTTGATTCAAATCTAACCTGTAGTCGAAGAATTCAGACACCGACTGCACTTTCATTTCTTATATCACACTCGACAAAATTACTCGATTATGATTGGACAAGAGGAGTACATTTGAATTCCAAATTGTACTCTGTAGAGTCCCAATTAAGTAGCTCAATTTGTTTGAGTATTTTATAAACGAAAAAGCCGCACAATCTTCTCGTACAATAAGCCTGAAGCGTGATGACGTTTTACCCCCGTCTCTAGACCATAATCCTTTTCACACTGCTTTTGTTCTTTAATTATGACTATTGTTCCTGTATTCTCTAAGGAATCAAAAATTTTAATATGAAAGAATTTTAAAAACTATTATAGTATAGAGTCGGGGATAAAACGTCATGTCGCTTCAGGCTTGTTCGGAATTGATAGATACTCGTAATACAATGAAAGTTCTCTAATTGGCAATTTTTGAAAACTTTCAAAAAATAACTGGTACCTATGAATTCCGAATTGTACTCGAGATCGTACGATATCCTTTACTAACTTAATGCACCACAATAGGAAGTCACCTGCCTAAGACTATTAACTTATTGTCTTTTTACGATTAATTACTTATTKGTTTCTGTTTTTATTTCTTTTCTCTTTCCTCATTTGATGATATTTGAACAACAGCACCTCCACCCAAAGGTGAGTCCAAAATAAAAGCGAATATATATATATTTTTTCAATTAMAAGTAATTATTGTCRTACTTGTTTTTKTATTTCGTTCGKTGACATCAAACCCTCTTTTYCTCCAGTGTGCAATCGTCGCGTCGACCTTGGTTTCCTCATTGATGTATCATCTCGTGTKGGTCGACACAAYATCCGTAGCATTCGTCTSTTCGTYAAGGACATGGTGCGACGCTTTGTCGTATCATCTCGACAAACACGTGTGGGAATCGTCATCTATTCGTCACGCCAGCAACGTATCCTAAGCATGACAAGAGTCAGGGGACGTGGCAGCGTGTATCGAGTATTGAGAAGAATCAGACTGTTACGAGGACAACGACGAACCGGAAGTGCTCTCAACTACGCCAAGAGATACCTGTTTGTAGGAAAACCCCAGTGTGGTAGAAAAAGAGTACTTATTGTACTGACGGGCGGTGTATCCGTTGACAGAGTAGTACGACCAACTAAATCTCTGGTTGGTATTGGCGTGGAGATATTTGCCATAGTAACAAGTAGAGGAGGCATGAGACAAATGTATCAGATCGCAACCACCAGACAACACGTAACGTTTTCATCATACAGTTCTCTTGTTGCTATTACTGATCGCTTGAAGAACAAGATCTGTGTCACACCAAAAGGTAATTAAGAACTTYTTAGTAACTATACTAGAAATGAGAGGTAAAAGACAAGATTAGATTAATGAAGTGCTAACGTGGTTTATAGAAATTACGTGCGATAAAACTGGGGAACGTGCATGTTGCATCATTTGCACAGCAGACAAAAACCCAAAACTGAACTGAAGTTTGAAAAACTTTAGGACCGACTACAGATAATTTCGATTAGTTGGCACAATAATATTTACTGAAATAGCACCAGTCATGTCGAATTTTATTAAATGTTTGCTTTTTATTTTTAGTTACTGTTAAAAAGGGTGCTGTTGCTTTGTACAAACTGACAAGTGCCACTGGTGCACGTGACACAAGTAGAAACAAGAATCCCTCAGCCAAGTTTGTTGGTGTTCGTTACATCACTGGTCCAGATCGCCATCCAAAGGGTGCTCTGTACTTCAAGGGTAGACGAAACAGTTACGTGTTGATCCCCAACTCTGGTTG